ACGTATAATTAATATTTTAATATATAAAAATAATAATTAAAAGGAAAAATTTACGAAACGGTAAAACGAAATTTAAAAGTGTTAAATTAAGTATTAATATTAATAATATTTATTTTAAAAATAATAATATTTACTTTAAAAGTAATAATATTAATTTTAAATGTAATAATATTTATTTTAAAAGTGGTAATATTTATTTTAAAAACGGTAACATTTACTTTAAAAGCGGTAATATTTACTTTAAAGATAATAATATTTTTTTTAAAGATAATAATATTTACTTTAAAAATAATAATATTTTTTTTTAAAGTTACGATATCGGTTTTTAAAAGTATAACGTTAATTTTAAATTTTATTACGTTTAAACGTAATAATTAATATTAAACGTATAAATATTACTTTTAATAATGTTAATATTTATTTTTATTTTTTAAAAAATAATTATAATTTATTAGTTATAATTAATTACGGGTAAATTATTATATAACGATAATTCATTTATAATTCGAAATATATATTTTATTATAATTGAAAAATTAAGTTAAAGTTTTAATTCCATAATATATGTAATAAATATAGAGTAAAAATTTAAAAAAATAATATTTAAATTAATAACTTAAGTGAATAAAGTTTTAAAAAAAATTATTTAAAAAAATATTTTTATAAAAATAAATAATAAGGATTTTACGCGTTATATTATATTAATTATACTTAAATATTTATCCTTATATTTTTAATTCGTAAAAAAAAATAACTTAAATTTAATATAATTAATGTATTTAAAAAAATGTATAAAATATATATAAATTTAAAATAATTATTATATAAATAATATTTTCATAATAAAAATAATCTTAAAAATTATTATTAAATAAATTTCCAAATGTTTAAATTAAAACTTTTTAATATATATATAATAAAAAAAATTTTATATAAATAAAAGTTATATTATTTAAAATTAAACTAAATTAAATTTAAAGTTATATATATAATTATAATTATTATATAAACATTTTCGATTTTTATTTTAAACATTATAAATAACGTTACGAATTAATAATAATATAATAAAACATATTATTATAAATTAAATTAAATTAAATTAAATAAATTACCTTATATAGTATAAGGTTTTTTTTTTTTTTCTTAAAAATAATATAAATTTTATATATTCGTTAAAAATTAAAAAAAATAAATGGTTAAATATTAAAACATTTATAATTAATATTATTTATATTATATAATTTTAATTAATATACGTATTATATTAAAAAAAGGCTTAACGTTAATTCGAACGCGTTTTAAATTATATTAAAATTTTATTATATACTTAATTAATTTTAATTATTTATAACTTAATTAATTTAACGTTTTAATTTTTTTAATTTAATTTAATCGAAAATGTTTAATTTAAATTATATGTTATTTTTTTTTTTAATTTTTAAACTTTTATTTAATTATAATATTTAAAATTAAAAGTTAATTATCACTTCGATTAATTCGAATTAATTTTAATTTAATTTAACTTTAATCGTAAAACTTCGATTTAATTTTTTATTAATTTTAATGTAATTAAGTTTATTCGAAAACGCATTATAAAAATAATTAAATTATTTTAATTATTAAACTTTTAAAAATATTTTAAATGCGAAATAATTAATTAAAGATTTAATATTATAAAAAAATATAAATTTTAAAATCGGGTTTAAAAGTTTAAATTACGGTATTTAATTTCTTACTTAATATATATAAAATAATATATATACGTTTTGTTAACGTTTTTCCGGTTTTATATAACGTAAATAATATTTATATACTTAATTATTTAAGCTTAATTTCGAAAACGCGGGAGTTTATCGATAAATATTTTAATTAATTAAAAAACACGTATTCGAATTTAAATTACATTATTAAAATAATAAAACTTTTATAAAAACTCGGTTTTAATTAATTAAAAAAATATTATAACTTTACATTATTAAATACGATTATAAAAACCGCATATTTATTAAATACTTATTTATTTTACCACTTTTTTTATTATATTTTTATTTATAAAAATTATTTTACGTTTAATTAAAAAAAAAATTAATAACTAAATATTTATAAAATCGGGATTTAACTTATAAAATTTTCGTTAAGTTTATAAAAGTTTCGTTAACTTTTAATTTTAAAAATAAAATAAATAAAAAGCTTCGTTTATATATATACCGTATTTTTTATAATAAAAATAATTAAAAGCTTTTTATATAATAACGTTATTATTTACAAGTTTTTTAATTTCGTTTTATAACTTAAATAACATAAAATAAAATAAATAATAATACGTATACTTTTAATATAATTAATTTTTTAATATTTATATTAAGTCCGGTTTATTTATTAAATAAACGTATATATATAATTTTAATATTTAACGATAAATAATTATTATTTAAAAAAATAAATTATAATATTTATTTATAATAACTTATTTATTAAATAATTATATATTTAAAAGTTATTTATTTTATTAAAGAATATTTAAAGTTAAAAAAACGTAAATTTAAATTATTATTTAAAAATAAAATCCCGAATGTAAAAAAAGTTTATTAAATATTAGTTTTTTTTTAAGTTAATAATTAAAAGTTTATAAAATTAAAATTAAACTTATAAAATTTTCGCAAGGGTTTTATTTACGGTTAATTTTAAAAGTAAAATAAATAAAAAACTTTACTTATATATATATTATATTTTCCATAAAAAAAATAATTAAAAATTCTTCGCGTAATAACGTTATTATTTCGTAGTTTTTTAATTCCGTTTCGTAATAAAGTTAATTATTATAATTTTTATTATTATTATTATTATTATTACGAAAAAGTTATAAAAATATAAAAAATAATATTTTTAATAAATTTAAAAAACGGTGTTATATATTAATAATAATATTTTAAAATAATTAAATTTATATTTAACGTAATTTTTATTAAGTAAATACGTGCTTAATTTTATTAATAATACCGTTTTTTTTACGCTTTTTTTTTTTCTACTTTTTAATGAAAAAAATATAACATAAACCGTTATAACGTACGTTTAAAAATATAAATTATTAAATAAGTTATAAAGATTTTATATTTAAATATAAAATGTAAAACTTAACTTAACACGCTTAATATACTTTTAATAAAACTTTAAAATAATTATATAAATAACGATTTTTTAACGTTAATATTAATTATTATTATTATTATTATTTCGCTTAATAAAAAAAAAAAATTAAATTAAACACGTTAAATTAATAAATAACCTTTTTTAAAGATTAAATATTAATTACGAAAAGAATAATATTAAGGATTTAAATAATAAAAATATAAATAATAATTAATAGAAATTATTTAACTTTTATTTAAATATTATTATATTTATAAGTTTTTTTAAATATTATCGTATTTTACATTTAAATAAAACTCATTATTAAAATGAAATATATTTACTTTAAAATAAATTAAAAATTTAATATAATAAACATTAATTTTTCTTAATTACTTTTTAAAAATTAAATGTTTAAAATAAAAAGTTTTATAGTTTTAATGTTTAATAATATTTATTTAAAAAAAAAAAAAAATTTAAATATAAATAATTAAATAATTTACTTTCTTTTTAAAAGCTTATAATTTTTTTTATAACGAAATAATTAATTTTATTAACGTCGATTTACGTTAAACTTCGAATAATTACTTAAATATAACGTTAAAATAAAAAAATTAATTAAATAAGTAAATTATAAAATTTAAATATTAACGTAAAATTAAAAAATAAAATAAAAAATAAATAATATATAATATATACTTAATAAAAAATAAAAATAAGTTATATTTTTTTTTAAATTTAATAAATATTTACTTATATAACTTTTACTTTATTTTTTTCTTTATTAATAAACCGTAAAATTTAATAATAAAAGTTAACGTTATTTTACCGTTTTAACTTATTAAATTAAAAACTTTATAAAATAAAAAATATTCTTATTTATAATAAATATTTATATATTTACTTAAGTATTAAAAATATTATTATTAAACATTAATAACGCTTTATAAACTATAAAGCACAGTATAAGTTCCATATATACTGTTTATTAATACTGTGTACATTTTAATACATTAATTAAATTGGCGGGTTAGCGGATACGGGCTTATGGTCCACCCTACTCCCGCTGGTTGTGTGTTCATAATTTCTCCCCCTTTTCCGATCTTACGTGTATCCGAGTGACAACTACCAATCTCACCGAGATAGCTGCGAGTGCAATTTCTGGATACCGGTTCAGAAGTTTTGGCTAGGCTTTTTTCTTTTACTCTTGAAAGTTGACGGTGACTCACCGCACAAGGACCCGGCGGCGCAGCAGGGGTCTTTGTTTTCTCATGCCAAGACAACATCAATGATGGATCGGTCATACAGACAATGTTAACATTTTGCTCCGGCCGATTTCCCGAGTTCGATTTTGGAAACTTCACCGTCAGGTTATGACCACCGATAAGCGAACATTATTCTTTGGGGGTCATACATATATGACGGAGATCAACACTTGAGTGAGGCATCTCTCCGATGGATACGCAGCTAGCACAGCACTAATGCCCGATATTCTTACGTTCGATATTTCCCTCTTATCTCGTACAATCGCTAACGAATTTGATATGTTATGATTTTTCTCCGGGCACGGAGGTGCCAGTTACACATACTGGGTAGTACGAAGGGATAAACTCAAGCATCACCAATTGCTTTAGCGAAACCGCGACCCCGTGGGGCAGTTCCCGCGGGAGTCGGGATCGGGGTGTGGCAATCGGATTTTGCTAGTAGGGAAATTTGGCTCACCTAGAGATTTACTAGGTTCTTTCATGTTAGTATACTTATTACCGAAGGATTATTATTCCCGGATGAGTTTTACATAATGAAGGAGCAACAGACATTTTCTGAATATAATATTAATACATAACTCTAAGTATAAACTCAAGCTTTAATTTTTTTATGTTGTATATGGTGGGTAAAACTTCTTTGTCTTTGGCAATGTGAATCTTACGAATTAATAATCTAGCTCGAGTTTTCCTTCATTTACTACCAATAGCATTACATCACATATCTAATATCTCCAAGTCGTCATGACGGTCTCTAACACAGACCAAAAGAATATCGAGAACGGTAATGACGCACCTAATGAGAACGATTCTCGGCTCAATACTCAGTCAGAAGATGAATTCAAGGAGGGCGGCTACGGATGGTCAGTTATTCAACGGTTACTTCTAAAGAGAAAATGATGTCTTATAGAATATGACTGATATTAACTATAGTGTCTCTTTAGGGTTGTGATTTTCGGTGTATTCATACTTAATGCCCATACCTGGGGACTTAACTCGGTAAGCATATCCTCACGTTCAAGGTTGTTTTAGACAATATTGGAAGTCAACATCCAATTTTCTAATCGTTATATGCTACCCGTAGAGTTATTCCGTGTTCCTCGCTTATTACCTTAGAACAGGCACTTTTGGAACTAGCCAGCTCGGATATGCCTTCGTTGGCGGGTTATCTATCTCCATAGGTATACTTTCCTCTTAATATATATGTACCTATACAAGGTACTATTATTACATCCATGGATTTAGCTAATATAGTCGCAGCGCTTCTCGCCTCCCCATTGGCAACTTCTCTCGTTGGATGGAAACGATGCGGCACGCGACGAACTATATTTCTCGGTGTTATATTTGAGACGTACATCTATCTCCGATCTACCCGCAAGTCTCAGATGCTGATGATATCTTATAGAATTGGGTTTATCGGCTCCTCTTTTGCATCGAAACTATGGCACTTGATACTAAGTCAGGGGGTGAGCTTCGGCTTAGGCATGGGTCTCTGCTTTGTCGCCTCTGCATCTGTCCCCCCTCAGTGGTTTGTAAAGCGTCGGTCGTTCGCCAACTCTATCGCCGCTTCCGGGTCTGGCTTCGGCGGCCTATGTTACTCACTAGCGACAAATGCAATGATCACTAACATTGGTCTGCCTTGGGCCTTTCGCATATTGGCAATCATCTGTTTCGTGGTAAATAGCGTCGCCGCCTATCTCATCCGAGACCGGAACGCCGCTATTGGGTCTGTTCATGTGGCCTTTAACTGGAGCTTGTTTAGGAGACCATCGTTCCTCTTGTTGCAAGCTTGGATGGTGCTCTCTCTCATTGCATACGTCATCCTTGTCTTCAGCATTGTCGATTATTGTCAATCCGTTGGCTTGACTGCCTCTCGGGCCTCTTTAGTAGGAGCAATATTCAATTGTAAGAACTTTCACACTTCTAACCCCGATCAATAAAGCTAACTTTAGAACGCAGTATTCCAGGGACTCGGAAGGCCCATGATAGGACTTTCGAGTGACTCTGTTGGTCGTTTGAATATTGCTAACCTTTCTACCTTGTTCTGCGGCCTTCTTTGCTTATTCTTCTGGACATTCGGCACTAAAACCTTTGCTAGCTGCATAGTATTTGCCATCCTTAGTGGCAGCGTTGCTGGTGTAATGTGGGCAACTGTTGCCCCCATAACTGCTGAGGTTGTTGGGCTTGCTCTTATCCCGTCAGGTCAGTTCTAAGATTTGCTTTTAGCGGCGTCCCTTACCTCCTCGGCTCAACCTTTTCATAACATTATAAGCTTGGAAGTAACGATTTCTTTAAATTATTATATCCTAACTGCGAAATAGCGCTATCCATGACGTGGGTTGTGCTTGTGCTGCCAGCGACCTTTGCTGAGGTCATCGCCGTGAGCTTAAGGCGGCCTGGAGAAGGGGGTTATATCCGCGTTCAGCTCTTCACCGCATTTTTATACATAGGCGCATTTCTTTTCGGTAAGTCTCACCGCTCCCCCAACCATCCTTGAGGATAAATCATAAAGTCACATCATAAAGATATATCAGAAAGAGATATATCAATATTCGCTTTCTGACTATCTATAATCTGATCTATGTTCTGATTGGTTAATACTTTTGATACAGGCTGGACTCTCAGAGCTTGGAAAGTCTGGGAATTGGAGCAAGTGCGGCTCGAAAAAGAAGAGCGCGAACTTGCTATTCGTGATGAGGGTGTCTTGTCGTCGGCGTTGGAAATACAGTCGCATAATGGTGACCCAAGGACCCAATCTTCTCGGAGGCCATTCTCAATCATCAAAGGCCTTTGGGTCATAGAACGAGTGTAAGAAAGCGATAAAAGTTTACAATCGAATCGTAATCTAGTTGATTGCATATACAGGCAGGAAAAATATAACTGGCAGCAATCTTGAGCTGTAGCCAAACATATATGAATAATTCACCGTGTACCCGGTTGTAATGGTGGATGATTCAATTCGCCATCTACGGATTAATACCTACTTTTAATCTCGAGCCACCAACTCGATGGCCTTAGCAGCAGCCTCATCAAAATCGTCAAAGGCGTATAATGGCAATCCACTCTGGGCAATGATATCCTGTCCTTCCTTCTCATTTGTTCCGCGAATTCGCACCACGACCGGTACGCTCATCTTCAACTCCTTAAACGCCATGATCACGCCTTCCGCGATCATATCACCGCGTGTCAGGCCGCCGAAGATATTAACAAATACACACTGCAACGAGGATCGATGATTAGCTTCATATCATAGGTAATCAAGCCCCAACCGGAGAGGGTAAGAAAGGAGGCATACCTTGACTCTGGGATCTTTCAATATAAACTCAAAACTCTTCTTCACCGTTAAACTTGTCGCCTTCCCACCCGTATCCAAGAAATTCGCTGCCTTACCTCCTGCATCGGCCAGCGCGTCCACCGTGTTCATAGCTAGTCCTGCGCCGTTAACCAGTGTGCCAATGTTACCATCTTTGAGCTTGATATACACAATTCCATCCTTCTCAGCAGCGAGCTCGTCCGGGTCCTCAGTGCTTGCGTTGCGCAGCTCTCCAGGATTCGTGTGCCGCCCACAACCCTTGGACGAAGCGATTTCGAACCCAAAATTCGCTCCTGCGACCTGAATTTTCGTACTGGCATCGGGAGTCTCGACGATCCAGATTTGTGCGAGGTAGTATTCTTGGTCTATGAAAAGTGCGAGGAGTTCATTGATCAAGGATTCCAAAGCACCCTTGGACTTTGGGTCAAGTTGGATGTGCTTGATTATGGCTTCGAGCTTCACGTCGTCTGGGGTTGATTTGGCATAAGGGAAGTCGAATTCCCTTGCCTCGGATATATCTCTGGTTGGAGAAGCGAGTATACGGAGATTCTTTGCGGATCTGTTGATGGTTAAAGCGATCATTTTCTGGGAATCTGGATCAAGTCCCTCGGATACGGGAACGTTATGCTCGCGTAGCTTCGCTAAGCATGTTTCCTGCGGTATGTATATACTCCGTCTTTGATATGGGGGCCTTTGATATAATGTGTTTTGGGGCAAAGGAGGACGGCGAATTAAGGTGTGCATTGCTCTCTGCTGTGGGATATGGCCTGGGGTAACTCCAGAAGCAGCTGTTGCTCTACTGTCTAGCATTGATTTCAGCACTGGGCCGAACCTAGAAGGATGGTTCACCACGACTGCCCCATCTGCCGTTAGGGCTTTGATTTTGTCTCGAACTGAGGGGTCACCAGGCAAGGTGAATGCTCCAGAATGACCCATGGTTCGTCCTGGGGGAGCATTGATTCCTCCGACCAGGGCTGCAATTGGTCTACCGAGGGTGTTACTGTCAGTATCAAGGCCATGGTATTAAGTCCCACGGATACTAACTTCGGATTTGCAGACACCTTCAGGTGTCGCCTCACCATGTCGGTGATCTCAAGTTCAGCATTACCCCCGATCTCTCCTATCAGTGCGATAGCATCTGTGTCCTTGTCTTCGAGAAGGATCTGTAGCCCTTCCTTTATAGTCGTTCCAGGTACAATATCACCACCGATACCTATACACATACTCTGGCCCAAGCCAGCTCTAAGTGTAGAGGCAGCAGCTATCAGGGAGAGTTAGAGATGAAGGTATATAACAGTGAAAGGTTCGTACCTACCTTCATAGCTCAATGTTCCCGATCTTGCCACAATTCCTACTCGTCCTGGTTTAAAACACGGAAGTGGTTGGAAACCTATCATGACTATTGTGAGTTATGGGCTATGCGTAATTAAAAAGCACATATGTGGAATCGTCACTAACCAATTCTGCATTTTCCAGTCACTGAGATGATGCCTGGTGAATTGGCGCCAATCAATCGACATTTCGATTGGGTTTTTAAAATAGACATGAGCTACAATGAATTAGAACCATTAGATATTATCTTTCTTGATTATTCATGCCCTAAAGGGCACGTGTGTTAATGTGTGGTGATGAAAAGAAAATACTTGCCCTAAGCATGTCATGAACAGGTATATGTTCCGCCACGGCCACGATGAGTGGAACTTCAGCTTCGATGGCCTCCTCGACAGCGTTAATAGCGTCTTGTGCGGCTACGTAGATGGCTGTTGCATCTGGTTTAAGATCTTTCACGGCCTAGAGGGATGTATCTTTGTCAATCCTACTAGGTAGTTTATACCCCTTATAATTAGGGAGACTGAACTGAAGATCCCGTACATCGCGGACTGTAGGGTAGAGTGGCAAGCCCAGGTGTTCTCCGTCCCGACCCGGCGTTACGCCCCCGACTATCTTGGTGCCCCAAGCTAGAGATTCACGAGCATTCGCAGTAGCCTGTCTTCCTAAACTCGCCATGTAAGAAAATAGCAATTGCATAGGAATGTGAGAGAGAATGAGATATACCCGTAAACCCCTGGAAGATAACTCTCGTATGACTACCAATTTTGAGATTTCTTAAAGTTGAGTCGTAGCCTACATCGTCGCTCGAATGCCGGCGACTTTCGAAAGAAGCCCATGCTGAACCTGCTGAACCGAGGTTACGATTACGAGAAGAAGCAATTGAGAGACACCTCAAGGGCCGGGTCCTTAAGGTGCTATAGAGCATTGTTTCTGTTGAGTATACGAGATGAAAATGAAATATCTGGAAGCATATTCAAAGCATCGGTTCTTTATAATCTGAATGGATCATCTTAGCCGGACCTCCATCGATCCCGCACCGGTTCCGGAAAACGGGCAATCTCCAACTTTAACTGGATTTGGGAATAAGTCGGAAATAGCAGGTAAGTCCATGTATGCCCCTATATGTGGTAATTACTACCCAGGTGATCAATCTGATGAGAGTGCAGAAGGTGAAAGTCACATAAAAACTATGACGTGTGACTATGTAGTAGTTGGAGACTTGGAGTGTCTATGTACATCTTAAATTTGTGGGGTTGCTTCGTTTACCTCGGTCCCGGAGTAGGAATAAGGACGTGGAATATAATGCTTCCATGCTCTGCAGGTAATTATTTACAATCTCATTATATATAATATGTACCCGACCATTTCGAATTTGGGTTGTGGTTGTATAGCCGTTCACTCTTCCCCTAATCATAGAGTGCGATGTTGATTTGGGTCTTAGAAAGTTAAGATCTCTCAGTGTTCATCAATTGTGCTTCCAATTACGCCAGCGATTTCCTGACCTGTATTCAGAATCGGGATTCGGATTTGATATCTTTAGGTTGAAGACAGCCGACATAATATTACCGTCCCGGGGATTCTGTATTAGACGGCGGATTCGAGTCCGCAAAGCCCAAATTCTTCATATCGTCCTTCGCCATGAGATTCCTAAATAATGAGAAAAGTCTACGAAATCTTAGGTTAGAAGCGAATGCTTACCGGTCCATACGACATAACAAATATGACTTAGACAGGCTACGGCACTCTTCAATATTTATGCCCTTGCCATTTTTAAGGCACGTCAGGTACTTCTTCATTACGTCCGTGCATTCACCTAGAGATGCGATATTAGCCATCGAAAATACGAAGACGTTGGTGGTTTTCTGACCATCGTGATCTAACGGGAAGCTACCGCGCTGCGGTCTAGATATAGTTAATATATCTCATATTGTTCTTTCAGGAAGGATATTGTTGAATAGGAGACATACGGGGTGGGCTTCCCGCTGTAAGTACCTGAACCCGGGCTACCGAAAGAACTCATCGGGTGCGATTGTATTCTTCCTTATCAATTAATAGTAATTGGTTTCAGGTGAATAAATCGGTAAATCCTTTTCTATTTCTATCGCCTTCAATGTTCGGTGGGTTGTTGAGGTTTTCGTTCGATTGCACATATGATTCAAGAACATCAGATTGAGCTTTGTATGAAATTTTGGAGATAGGCGGACAGTGTAAAAACCACCTAGGTATGTATTTCATACTATGCTATATTTGCAAGAGTCTGATACCTAGACACAACGTTTTGTAATGTTCATCAAGTACTACCTAGTCTTTTGAGATTTAGATGTTACAAATGACATAGAAAATTGATTGATGAGATGCTTCAGAAAATAAATACAAGATGAACTTGGAAGTTTCGATATCGAGTTCGAAGACGAAAGATGTACTTGCGAAAGTTACCTAGGTACATGCAGTTTGTCCCAGCAGTCCCAGTCAAGCTACCAGTCAGCCCGGTTCGGCGGTGCATCCTTGAATACGAAGTACAGTCAAGGTCCTCGACCCCTCCCCCCACATCGGTCGAGTACCTCCGGCGATCTCTTAAGATGGTTGCTGGGCGAACAACCGCTTGCTAAAACAATTTGACATCACTTCACTGCAGTCTGTTCAGTCTGGACCTTCCCAAAACCTGCTGATTTGCTGTTTCCCATTTGTCTGTGGAGATAAATTTACCTATCGTACATATTGTACATATACAATCCTTTAACCTTCCTGCAATCTTCGAAGCCATTTATAACCTGTCATCAAAATCTTCAACATTCCATTGATCTTGAATATACCAATCCAATTTAGGCGCTGAACAATTATACCTATACGTACCTAGTACTTATCTAAAGCCGAGAAGACCAGTAAAGTGCTGCCAGCCAACAAGCCACTCCCCACCTCGTGTCTGCAGCATCGTGGGCGGTGAATTGGAATACCGACATACCCGATTTAGATACCTATCTAGGTGGAAAAATATTCGTTGAATTTGCTCAGCCTGCTCTCCTTTACATCATACATCCCGGGTATATCCTTTGCTATAACCTCTGTCACCGCTACGCGCGGAGGTGATCAACTACCTTGATGCTCGAAAATACACTGGATAGAAAATGCGGTTAACGCCTTACCCATATACTGCGCTCTTTTCCATAGCTGCGACGACCTCTGCTCTTGCCGAACCTATTCTCAACCCGCTCGGGTACAGCGCGATCCAGCATTTTAATGCCATCTTTCAGAGAGACGTGACCTGTCCCGCCAACTACTTCAGTTGCGAAGATCGGGGTGCTGCTTTTGCAGGCACCTGTTGCGAGAATGGCCAACTATGCTCCTTAGATGCGCATAGCTCAGCAGCCTGCTGCCCTACAACGTGAGTTCCCTTCGGATAAGACAGTATGATGATAATGCAACTTGAGACTTACATATTTATTCCGTTGAAATTATAGAGCAACATGTACTGGAGTAGCGCCTGCTAGTACAACTGCTTCTGTCTCCTACGTGAGCAACACATACTTCACATTCCCATACATACCAACATCATTTGCCAATTCGGTCGCATGCACATCGGCTCTTAATCAGTGTTCGAGCAATTACCAGGCGTGCGTATCGGACTTGGCGGGTACAGTGGGTGGGGGTTACGGGGTCACTATTGTGGTTCCGGGAGGAGGTGGAACGACAATCGCCGCCACACAAGGCACCGCGCTCCCTGCAGCAACGGCGACATCAGTCTGTTCTAGTTTGTCGTCCGAGGCCTGCTATAACCTACAGACATCACAATGCGCATCTGCCGGCGCTACAGGTGGATTTATCGTTGGAAATCAAGCGCCACGGCCTACTGCTGCTTGTATCGCTGGCGTCATTGCCGGGGTTGGTCTAGGACTCATGGGCGCACGCATATGACGCCTTGGAGATCTAGGTGTGGATTGGACGATGTAATGAATAGTTACGACCCTTTTTCTAATTGTGTATAATTTGGCCAGCAATTATAGATGTGTGTGTCTTCGGTATAGGATGGTTGGGGCTGTATGTAGCACTGGGATAAAGAAGGGTATTCCACCAGGAGATCAGGAAAATTACCTAGGTACATAAAGACGGGTTATCATCTATGTGATAATTCTCAAGTGATAAAAAAAGTTACGAATTTAAATAAGAAATGACATCTTGAAATTATTTACTTGTAATAATGAACTAAAGTCGCGTTTCACAAGTATCACAATAGAGAGTTTATGTACATATGACCGATAAGAAATGGAACAATACATTTCCGAGCTTCTTCTCCTGATTGGCCGAATCATTTATCTAGTGCAGCCAGTGCAGCTTAAAGAGGTACGTACCAGGTAGCAATAGCTTCAACATGCTGATCTATGGATCTTAAAGATAACAACACCTATGCGCACTCGTCAATTCATGAAGTTGGTCGTCGACAACTTAACGAGATGAAATAATTTCATCCTACATCAAATAGAGAACCCAACTCAGACTTGCAGTAGTCAAATGAAACATGCTCACCGAGGACCGCGGCGCACACCCTCGGACTAGGCGGCGGGACTAGTGATTGCATCTGAGACTTGTGTCGCCATTCGTGGCACCGGAGCGTGTGATAAGTATGGCATCCCCGATACTGCCAAACACGTCAAACTTCCTGGGAGTGGCTCTGGTGGTTAACCGGCTGCGCGATGGCCCGTTGTTTGTCTTCCAGTACCCGTCTCGGATCCTGCAGCCGCGCGCACCGTCCTCCAGCGACAGTGCTCCCAGGGATGAGCTTGACGACGACGACGATGAACTTCTAAATCAGATGACACATCCTCCTTTCGAAGCACCTTCTGGTTCTCTCCCAAAGTCTGTTGATCTACAGAATTGGAACCATGATGATCATTTGGAAACCGATAGCGGCTCTCAAATAGTGCCCTGGGAGCATGTAGCTGGTTACCCAACTAAAGACCTCGAGAGTCTCCTCACGCCAAGTCGAGCTTTCCACAAGAAGCTATTTCATGTGTCATTAGAACAACTCTGTTTTGCATCGTATCCCGTCTACGTCCCAGAGAACGGAATATGGCGCAAAAAGAAAAAGCAGCCGAAGTATCAAGCGCCGAAATCGCCAGAAAACGCGGAACCCGCCAGTAAGTATGGCGAGTATTCGGTTTTTCAAAGCGACATACCACAGATCGAGACTAGAGATATGGCTGAGGATGCCATTACCGGAAATTCACTAGATGAAGCCGACGAGAAAAAGAGTGGCATGACTATGTTCAATCTTGTCTTCATTTTGAATCCTAAGAAGCATGAGGCAAGGGAGCTAGCGGAGAATCTATATCTCCATATCATAAAGAAGATTAATAAGGCCTATAAGTACAGCCAACAGAAGAGTGATTTTGTCTGGAAAGAGTCAAAACGAATCTTAGCAATGAAGGATAAGGGCCGGGAATCAAGTATGTGCCTAACGTATCGTACCACACATACAAATAGACGAACTGACGAATAACGTACAGAAACTAAGATGAGCACGCTATGGAAGGAGATACTAGAAGTCTCTTCCTTAGCTGCATCCATGCAGGATGTCTACGAAGCCGTCTCCCACAACAAAATAGCGGCACTGCAACTAGACACAGCCGAAGGCGCAGTAACGCACTCAGTTCAGATACCCGTACCGTTCTATATCACGGACCTACCCCCCGATGACGAGAGTGGCTCTAAAGGACTATGGATAACCACTGCCAACTCCTTCGTCGAAGAGGATAGCCTTCACGACCCTGACTTCCTCGATAAGAACTTCGCATTGCTCCTGATGAGTGACGAGAAGAAGATCATCGCGGAGCTCCAGGCCGACCCTGACGAAACAACGGCCGCAATGATCGAGTTCGTACGGCTCTCAAAGCCAACTATGTCGTAAGTACACATATCTTACAGCCTTTCGCACCCCCTATTCCTCATTATTTCCCCCCTCTTCGAGAACTTCTTTCTAAAGAATGTCAACACTCACCTTTGCCTCGACCTCACAGCTTTCACCAAATCGGCCAAGGCACGGCCCTTTCCCCAGCGCAAGTTCGGAAGTATGCGCAGCACTTCATCTTCTGGCGTCGCGCCATCGCGATCCCGCCCTTACATGCGCGCGACGTATACATCCTGTCACCGAATAGCGATATGTCACGTCTACCTCGCGCATCCCAGGCCTGGGCCAAGTGCTTCCCGCTCGCACCCCCTTTACCCGAGTTCCTAGCGAGTTTATCGGCCGCTCCACGCTCGTACAAGTTATTCGCGCCTAGCAAAAACCATCGCCCGACCTACCTAGCTATGTTGGCTTGGCTTATGCGTGGCGGCTGGGCAGCCCAACTGTGTACTTTCGCATATGTCGTCGTCTGGCCCGAGATCTTATACGAGGTAGACTACGAGCTCGAAGCAGAGGAGATAGAGCGCGCGCGAAACGAAGCAAAGGCCGAAGCCGAGGGAACGTCTAACGAATCGGACACACACTCCCAAGTATCTTCATCGCCGCCCCCATCATCCCCACGCTCTGATTCCCCCGGATCTCCCGACTCTAACAACCCCAACCCTAACCCCGACGAAAGACCCCGAACGAGCCTCAGCAGCACCTCTTCCTCCTCCGAGCACCCAATTCCCATATCCCTAACCTCCTCCACGGCAACCCTCCAACCACCATCCTCATCACAGTCGCACACCCAAAAGACCGCCGGAGAACAAGCAGCCGAGCAAGCACGCCTCTCCCGCCTCGCAACCCGCGCACACCTAGCCGCGGCCTCAAAAGCCGCAGCACACGCACGCCGCCCCGTCCCCCAACGCACAGCACACCCCTCCGTAAACCGAGCACCGCACCTAGCGCACCTAAGCCCCTACGTAATCGTCGACGCCGGCCGCGTCGGCGAGCGGGACTCGCGGTACCTCTCCGCGATCGGCCGCCGCCTGCCGGAGCGGGTAACCCACGCCTCGAGCGGCGCGCTAGCCGTAACCACACGTCCCAACACGCGCCCCAGCAGCAGCAGCAACACCGCCGCCGACGCAGGAAAAGGGAAAGAAACAACCGAAGGGATAAAAATAGGACCAAGCAGCAAGCCCAGTAAAGGGGGGTCAGGACCACCGCTGAACCCGCGAACCGCGTGGCCCGTCTTCTGGAAGTACTTTGACGGGCGCTGGGCACTTGAGCGCGTGGCTTTGCACGAGGACATGAAGCGTCGGGACGCGTGGAACTTGCTTAATTCTATGAGCGAGTATTTGTTGACTGTGAGGCATTGGTAGGCATTGGTAGGTTTAGGTTAGGTTAGGCTATGTGCTTACGTATGTGTGTACATATATGGTTACATAGTTGGATAGGTATCCGGTATCTATGTACTCGAGCTACGTGTAAGAGAGTAAATCCGTTTATAGTGAGGTATATGGACGGGCGGGAAAGGTCGGGTTTATGATTCCGGGGTCTTCCCGCTTTGATAGATACCTATCTCCTACCTGAAGAGATAAATTTGAACCTGGAACGAAGTTCTATAGGCATTTCAAGGCGAACAGCAATAAATTCACATGCAGGCAAGCAAGCATAGGCTTATGTGGATAAATATGATTATTAGGGTTAACCCGTTATACTGCCCGGCTTATATATCACTTGTAATGCCTCACTTTCCTTTCTCCAGTCGGATTCCCTTCCAGTCGACGAATACACAAAGCATGAGATGCCCTCGCCCTCGTAGAAGAGGGTTGCAATGGCTACATGTGGGAACCATCGGAACAAAACTCCTCCGTCCACAATGAAGATGTAAATGCAAAAGACAACACGATTTCGGCCGAAGAAAAAAAACAGTGACCCAAACTCCGTAATCCACAAGGTATCATAGAAAAGAATCAAACCCGGCCCGCAGATGAATGACGCGCGAGGAAAATAAAAGCAGCGAAAGAAGAGATGGCAGGGGTGCAGAAGAAAAAGCGAAAGACCTGACCCTGCATGTCCGGATCTGTCGGACGAGAACCATATGAAAAACCATAACCGCTCCCGGCCGCTCCGTGCCTGTTTCCCACTGTCTGGTGAGATAAGATAGAACGCCGGTCTCCCAAAACGGCCGCCCTATGCAGTAATGTCCCACCCTTGACTGAGATACCCGAAATGACCGAAGTAAAATGCCTGAAATTCCCGAGTCAAGTGTAATCCATGGATGCTCAAAGGCGAAAACGCAAAAATCGAATGGGGAATCGGAACTTGGTCAACGCCGGAAAATGCTAGAAAGATGTAGGAACGTACAAGGCCTAGAAGCCTAAAGACCTTTAATCATGAGAGAGGTCCATTCCGAATTCATCCTCTTCCTTGAAATTGATCGACCCTGGACCACTGCCGTCATCATCCGGGTCGTTCCAAAATTGGCCAGCGTCCCCCATATCCCCCGCAAGATCCACAGTATCCCGACCGTCGGGACTAACCGAAGTCCCAACAATCGCACTGTCTGATCCGTTTACAGAGTCGCCTCTATAGTCGGTATGTTGAGGTACTCGGAGACCTGAGCCTGCAAAGCGAGAGTATGAGAAGGTATGCGGGCCATTCTTGGTCATGGCCTCCATCAGCTCAGTTTGCATTCGCTTCTCGTCTTCTGTAAGCTCAAGGGGAACACTACCACCAAGCTCTACAATGGTGTTGAGAAGCTCCTCTTGTTGTTGAAGTTTAAGATGTAGCATCCACATGAGATCCCGCGTCCAGCTGACAGCGCCGTTAAGGATGTCTCCCTTATTGGGGCCTTTATCCTTCTCTTCGAGAGGCAGGCCCGTGGTAATGTTACCAACACCGGTAGCACGCTTTGCGCCCGGTCCAGCCAATCCTGAAGTAGCCTGTGCTGGATGGGACATCCCGGTCAAGCTAGGAGACAACGGCGTTCCGTTCTGTATCAGCTTCCGGATCTTCTCGTCTTCCAGACGGTGAGTAGGAACAAGCTTGCTAAGATCCTGGATTCTTTCGTTTATATTATCACGACGTCGTCGCTCAACCAGATTGTGAGACTCGCGGCGTCGCTTCCTCTTCATCTCCTGGGAGGAAACCGCATTGGGTGGTGTGTTTAACTTTGCAGGCATCGACGTGCCGCCCTTAAGTAATACATCTGCAATCTGTGGGTTCTGCATGCCATGCTGCATTGGAGAAGAGAAGCCAGATCCGGGGAAAGAGGATAGGCTGTTTGGCGTATGCATCCATTGAGCCGAAGGGGATTTCTCGTGGTGGCCGTTCGTAGTTCGTATCGGTTGCGCACCGAATCCTGGTTGTTCACGAGAGCTCACGGTCAAGTTGGACATGGCGGCTGCAGTCTTGGGGGTAAGTGGGCTTCGAGTATTTGAAGACTTGCGCTGCATAGTATGGGAGAGCTGAGGGCGGGATTTTGTGTTCAGGTAATTAGGATCATTTCCATCGTTGTTCATGTCGGAGCCAGTCAAAGGGGAGCCGGAATAGGATACCGGTGACTGAAGGGAGTTTCCAAATTGCTGCTGGTGCTGTTGTTGCATTTGGTGGAATTGCGCCTGGTTAAAGCTGTGCACAAACGGACTCTGAATAGGATCACCATCGGGAGTGTTGGAGTATCCATTCATATGAGACTGGTCCATCGGCAAGCCATGGCTACCTTGGTGGCCATATACGCCCTGCGAGAAACCCATATTCATCTCGTTCATGCTACCAAAATCCTGGCCTTGGTTGTGCATGCCAGGTTGGTTAGACATAGGATCGGTCGGGCTACCAAGGGTGTCGAGTAACTCGTCATCGCCGAAGAAATTCGAGGTATTGTTATTTCCGTTGAAGTTGTTCGAATATGACGGAGCGTAAGTTCCGGACATGGCCAGGTCGTTAGGGTCAACGCTGGCACCAGCGCCGCCCGTACTCTGGCCGCCGCCAAACTGGTTGAAGGCGTGTTGTGCCATCAGATCTAGAGTCGGGTTGAAAGAGCTCTCCAAGAGAGAAAGGGAGGGTAAGATTCGTAGCGATAGCTAGTTAGGTATCTATAGCCGTTTTAGGCGTTAAAATGTCGTCGGCGACAAAATAGTTTGTCGGTATTGAGGATATCGAGAGTGAAAGTGGTCGGCGATTGATGTGGGTTGCAAGTTGTGGATTGTGTATCTGGTATCTGCCTAGATAGAAATCTAGAAATCTAGCGTATCTGTTCTGTCGAGGGACAGAGCATTGTCAGCCCCGCACCTATACTCGCCGAGTGGGTTATGGGTTATGCGGGCAAGAGGGAAGGAATGGAAGGGTAGTGGTAGTAATAGTGGGAAAAGAGCCCTGGAGATGTGGGGAAGGAGGTATTAAAGTATCAATACACCGAGATAGCCCAAAGCGCTCTTTACAAAATGGTAACAGAGAAAGAAAAAGGAAGTTGTCGATGCTGTACTATTGCATGCGACGGCATAATTAAATATGAAATAGATATATATAAATGGATATTTACCTCGGTTGAAGAAAAGTGTAATGTTGAATGGTGGTTGTTGATGTTTGACCACAAATTACGTAGCCATGCAGGTGGTGAACGACGTCGCGGGAATGCGCCGGCTTGCTGAGTATTTGATTTGAGGAACCAAATATATTTAGAGGGGAATTTTGGAGAGAGGCGCGTGTGAAAGAGCTTATGAATGTATCTGTTGTGCGTTGGTTAGAGGTTAAAGTAGACCCAAGTTACCGAGTTAGGTTGGTTCGAAAATTGGGACTGCTTCTTTTTCTCTTTTCTTTTTCCATTCCTTTTTGTGCTTTTTTTCCCTTGTGTAGGTACTGAGTCCGATGCGAATACCGCGAGTCCGAGATGCGGAGAGTTCCAAGGTTAAAAAAAAAAAAAAAAAGAACATGTACGTACAGACTAGTTGAATGCGCACGACCAACAATGGGTGTCGGTGAGATTTATTGGTTGGGTTTGGATAAGTGCTTCGTCGCTTGTGTGAGAAGGCGTAGAATAAAGCGAAGAAGGGGAAGAGGAAGAGGAAGAGAGGAAAAAAGAATTAAGTTAAGTTAAGTTGCTTCAAGGATAACTAGACGAAGAGAAATATATCTTGCGCCTCGCCAAATTCGAAAGGCGGTATCGCTATAATCCCTACACCAGTAAGATGTGATAGACAATCCAGGAAGGAGTGATGGTGGCAGCCAGCCCTCGATGACAGCACTAAGTGAATTCTGACCTCAGAGAAAATTGACCGAACGCAGGGTAGGCCAAGTAGGCGAGGTAACACCAAGTGTACGAGAGGAGGAGGCTAAAAACAACCAAGAACTTGTCAAACCGTAAGCACGGAGTTGGTGCCGGGTTTAATCGGCTCTTATTTCGGCCTGGGCGGTTGCACGAGAGGTGATGAATCGTATATCAGATCAGAGAATAGACGGAAGCGCAAAGAGCGGCCGTTGGATCGTATATGAATTAAAGATTATGTATGGGTATAGGTATGGGTATGGATATGGGTATGGGAAAATCGACCGGGTGTGTGGGAAGGATAAAAAAAGGACCAAGGACCCAAGCACCACCCTAAGACCTTCAGGATTCGAGGCGGTAAGAAGGCAGAAAAGAAAGTCCTTGGATTTTGAGGGAAGATGCAGGTAGCCTAGCCTGGGTTGGGTGAACTCGGTTGGCAAGGTTATTAACTTATTAGCTGCAATAAAATGCCAGGTAAAATGCCAGGTGGTAGGGCAATCTGTGTCAGCTCTCGCCAACTTGTCGATGAAAGCGGGCGTAGCTTGTGGGCGAAGCTCAAACCGGGGCAGCCTGACTGAGTGGTGTATACGAGGATGGGATCTCCTCTGTTTGAGACCTTCCGGACGGTGGCGGCCGTAGGGAATTAGATATAGCTTCGACAAATATCACAAACAACTGATCAAACCCGACAAGCCGAGTCAAGTTGAAATATGATTGGAATAAACCGGGTTGAATGAAATCTCACGGTGAGCGCCGGACGTTGGAAGAAGCGGTCTCAAGTAAGAATTGAGCGAGAATAGTAACCTTATAGTAGTAATGCTACCTAGGTAGGTAGTAGTAGTAGAGAGTACTGCTACTAGGTACAACTATTACCTGGAAAGTGCTTGGGGATAGCGCAAGGTGAGCAAAAGCAGGGTAACGCAAGGTAGCGCAAACCAATGCAAGTGCGCCGTTTGTGTGTTCGAACCCTGGTAACTTCGGGCAATTGATTGGCAGCCTACGAGGCGTCCAAGAAGTACCCTTGGGTAAATCCCCTGTAAGATTTGGTGGGTTGGGTGGTTTAGGTGTGTACCGTAATGGTGCACCCGTACATGCAGTTGTAGGGATAGACCTGGAGAGGATATGATATGGGATGGGATGAGCGGAAGTAGCAATGCAATGTGAATGATGTGTTGCTACTTCCGAACCTCTCTCTCACTCCGTCTCTCTCTGATTTCCAGCTCGTGGGAAGGAATCTACCTAGTTAAACAATTAGCGGCTACCCTTAGCCGATTACGTAGAAACTTGCAGCATCTACAAATCACTTACAAGTTACAAGCGCTTCCGACTTCCGGTTAACTCCACCGAACAAGCCAAGGTCGACCACTTTTCCTGAATAAGACGTTGGTGTCGGATAGTCGACGAGAGAAGTAACCAAAGCGAGATCGTATCGAGTCGGAACTTTTGCGCCGTTCCAAGATATAGTTCAGATAATATCGACCAGATCGTCGACCGACCGATTTCCTCTTGCTCCCTTGCTGACCGTCTCTTATTATTGGTAATGTTCTGCCGCGGCCTTGATGACGATGTCGAAACTGTCCAATAGAAATAGGCGATATTGTCCATGTAAAAAAAAAGCTGAGGACTGGGGCGGTACACAAACCCTTGATCAGATCTCCTGCGAGGTCGATCAACTTGATATCGATGTCGCAATTTAAAAAATCATGTCAAGAACTATGCTTAATTGTCGGAGGCGTGTCCTGCCGTTCACAAGCCGGCGTCTTGTTGTTTTAAACGTCCAGAGCTGTTTAGTACCGTCGTCCTAAGTATTAGTGGATAGGCGCCCTGGTGCAAATGGCCGTGTTGGGTTGGATATTTCAGACGGTTTTCTCCCGAAAGAACGGCCAATTATGAATTAATAGAATTAATTAGGTTTGTTGGTTGATATCAACTACCAGAACGAAACATCCCCTCATTGGGTTGTGGCCGTGGGGTGTAGAGTTTTTATATTCAGATACCTATATACATCTATAAATACTTCCAGTTACGATTACAAACCCCCAGTCCACATCTTATTCTGCGCGAACAGGCTTGAGGTGCGTCTTATGACACTAGAGAACTCGGAAAGGTCCATCTTTAGCTGATATGGTGTGTAGGGAAGCGATGAAAAGGGGTGTCTCTCCTAGCTCTCACCGGACTGCTAGGGAGCTACCTCACCCCATCGCGAAGCGCGACCCGCGCAACTGAGCTCTATCTTATCGTCAGGATATCGTACTGGGTAATGAGGAGGGGTCCCTGTTCGGGAAGACAAAAAGGGAATGGGTGGGCGGCACTTGGACTCGTGACCAAGGCCAAAGTCATTTCACCCACCCACCCACCTAGGTGAGACAGAATGCCACCCTTCTTTTGGCCTAAGGAGATAAACGGGGTGCCATGGGAAAGTATGGTCAACATGGGATTTTGGACAATGCGAACGCGAGAGAGAGAAAGAGAGAGAGCTTTCGAAATTGGTCAGCGTGATCCTTAATGTCGACCTTGTGTGACTCATAGACATTGAGGCCATGCCCCCGAACCGACTAACGTGCTGACTGAAAAAAGGCGAAATTTGTCACCTTGCGTAAGGCACCCGCTTTAGAAATGCACCCATGGATGTATGTATGTACGATTCCCGAGCTTGCGATCTTCTATTCGGCTGCGCGGTCAAGGTACACCAATCCCACGAAATGTACTTGCTACCTAACTTATCGCCAATGACCGTCAACTTATCTAGAGGTACATACAGTACTCAACCTAAAAGTGACGACGCGAACGCGTCTCTGCATGGCTTAATACAGATCCTCGTACAGGGATGCCTACTGGGTGGGCAGGCGAAGGCTTGGTAGGTCGGCAAACCCAACCTTGCTTCCTCCTATGAGAGCATCTCGACGTTGGGAGGCATCGTTAGTCTCGAATCAGGCGCGGCAATAGCGTTTCTAAACATATTGTCGACATCGTATTACGAAGACGATGAGGTCATCGCTATTTGGAGTACTGGGTCTCCTTCGCATACTACGTAGTATGATCTATCGTGCAATGGAGGGGTAGATCTTGGAACATGTATAAATTCTGCGTTATACCAAGTTGATATGAATGCAAGAGCTATAGCAGAGTGAAAGTGGACTCTGCAGCTGCTCTATCGGCCGGCGACCGCTCCGATGTAACTTAAGGCTGCAGGTTCTCGAAAGTCGACGGCTTCTTCCCCATGACGAGATCCACGGCTCTACACCCCCAAGCATCAAGCATCGAAAGTGGGAGCCAATCATGTATGTTGCGCATCGAAGCACTTAGACGCACTTCGATAGAGTTTGAATAGCGCCCGTTCGGCACGGTACGTAATTGGTAATCTCAGATGCCTAATAATAATGGGACCACCTGATATTTGAAGTTGACAGGTAGGGCTGCCGGGGGGAGGGGAGGGGGCTTCGTCTCCAAAAACCGAACACAGTACATACGTCAAATATCCCCACGAATACACGAATACATTGGATACTAGATAGATCGGCGTTGGTCATCCAAAGTTGCCAAAGTAAATCTCAAAATTAACCTCCAAGCTCACATCGGCTAGCATATGTTACGTCTTGCGTAACCGCGTTCTCCGCTACCTCGAAGGTCGAGGCATCTTGCAACCACCAGAATAGATTATATCCCCCAACTTCGATAGTCGACGCGTATCCGCCAATAGGAAGTTGGGGATCTAACACACCTTGAGCATAGACAAGGTATGTAGTTGCTTTGCATATATGCGCAGATGTAAGTGTAGTATGCGCAAGCGCGCAACTGTCAAAATCTACGCGACTGTTAGAATCTTGGAACTTACGTATAAGTTGCATAGTTAAGGTGCTCTCTGTATGTCGATGAAACATCCACACATGTCTACATGCGGGGCAGACAGTGGGCAGACGGTGAAGTCAGTGAAGGTGTGTACGGAAATGACGGATCTCATCCACGACGCAACTCGTAAACAGGCTCCCATGAATATTATTGTCTTGCATACCTAGGAATAATTAGATATTATTCCTAGGTATAATCAGACGATACGCCAAATAAAAGCAGAGCGGCATTATACTACCCTCGTCTTCGGTATATGATATGTTCGTCCGTAATATTACTTTTTAATGCCGGCTGTCAACTTCTATACGCATAGTATACGCACGGGCTCGGGCTGTGATGATGATTGTAAGAGGCAAACCAAAGAGGAACAGGGGTTTAGAAAGACCAAGAGAAAGCTAACAGGAATCGGCCCCATCTTAGCGGGATCACTGTCAGGGATTAGTTGAAGCCACATGCCAAAAAGTCTCAACCAATGACGTGCATCTGGATGTCACACTAAAGCCCCGCTCGCACAGACCACCAAACCAATACCCTGGGTACCTAGATACCTACTCGATACCTAGTACTTTCAATTTTGTAGTTGTGTGGCTGATCACTTCTGGCTGATGCCACTAATCCACTTTTACTTCTCTCTCCACTACACCCAATTTTAGTGCACCCTAAACGCGACATCACCGCAGACCGCAGACACATCCCGTTTTCCATCAACCCATACCTAGCCTCTCCATCACCAATCTCCCAATTACCAGTACAAAGACGGAGAGGTCATCCGGCACATAGCAGTGGCATCCATTACGAAGTCGCATTTTCCCATCTATCCGCCCCATATATCCAATCCACCATACCACACGCATATTCGCCCGAATCGTTTTGCGACCGCATAATCCGAATCTTAGAACTGCGAGTTCATCCGAAGTTCAGCGAGCGAGCCGAGCGAGCGTGAACCATACTACATGATGGCGTCTGCGTCGTTTAGAGAATCGATGAACTCTCTAGGGTGGTCACGTCGCGATCGAGACCGTGATTATACGGCCAACACGACACAAACTTCCGGACTCTTATCTTCTATGAAGTCGTTGAACCCGTTTGGAGACCGCGGATATGTACAACTCCCCACTACAGAGGGTGCTGGCGCCCCCTTGCCAGCCAGCAACCGTCGTGACGAGGAAGAGGGCTGGTTCGTCCGTAAGTTCTGCCCTATGCTCTATACCCTTTCTGTAGTCCTCAGTTCCAGCCCCTTAAACGTTCGCATTCCCCTGCATCGTACCTTGGACGGGCGACATGTGCATCATCCGCGCGCTCTGTTTCATCTTTCCACATGGGCGAACCGACCCACTACAGCTTTATAGAGACTGACTAGGAATCTCGATCTTCTTCATAGTGAGTCGATGGGACCGAATGTTAATATTTGGTGCCTGTAACTTGGGTGCACTGGCCTGCTTTGTGCTCTGTTTTGCTCTATGGCCTATCCTCATGACCAAGCCTCGCAAGTTCGTCATATTGTAAGACCAATAATTTCTCTTAGCTTCTCTCTCATAGCTAGCATTGCTAGCTACCCCCCCTTGTCTACCTGTCCTCGTGGCCAGAACGAGCCCCCCCTCTTCCCACGACTATGAGATGAGGTGAAGATCTCTGCAAGAAGCCGCTATTGCATATGTATCAATCTCGCATTACAGCACGGATGATCAACCGGGTGGATCTGGCCTCGATCTAACCTTCTTTCTACGACGTCTTCTACATATTGCTTCAATTTCCGCATAGATAGTCTGCGTCCGAGGGCATCATGCTAACAGTCTGTGTCACCACCAGATGGTCTTTCGGCTCGGTACTATTTCTCTCTTCCTTTGCCGCCATGATGGGACCTATGGCGTACGCCCAGCATTTAATGTCTGGATCACGATTGCCTTTCACCGCGGCGTATTTTGGCTCTATTGCGTTGACTATATACTTCTCTGTAGGGGTAAGTCATTAACCCTCCACTTCAGCGTTGAGTTAAGACACTGACTTGTTGCAGCTTCACAGCACAACACTGACTTTGTTGGCTGCCATCTTCCAACTTGTCTGTCTTCTATGGTATCTTGTCAGTTACTTTCCGATGGGTTCAAGTGGACTACGGCTTGCCACCAGCTTCGGTGCGCGGAGGGCAGCGGCCTGGGTGACTGGTTAGCCTGCATGTACTGTACATTACGACGTTCTCGATGTGTTGCGGCCATCCTCTTGTTGGCCTCGCCTTCCTGTTATAATAATCCGCGAATCCATGTTAGACTGTAAGGAAACGTCATGACTAATGAAAGAGACATGTGAAACATTTTTGGGGGTAGACCGATATTTATATGCACCTTGGACATATTTAACATATATTACTACCAGTTGGATATAATTAATACATAGCGAGTCTATTTTTCTAGTGTCTGAGATAGCACACGGTAAAGGATCCGCGTCTCCCGCACACCTCACCCGACAAGTTTAACTAGGATAACCTATTGGAAGTCAGTCCGGAGCTTCCATATATTAAACCTGTCTTACTTTTTACATTCGAAGCTTGTTTCTATGTTGACCTGTCCTAGGTGCTCAACGATTACTTGAGGTAAGTTATGACTCCTTGGCTGAGACTATGGGCCAAGGGTTGACAGGTCCCTATTCGATTTTCAGTATCTACGTCATCGGCTAACACACTCGGAGCTCATATGGCCTTTCACATGAGTTTCCAAGTATCATGCTTAGGTGCTAGTGATATATAGGTATATATGTATATATATACTCATAAATAGTGAAGTCTAAAGAGCATCGTAAGTAAGAAGCCAGTCTTTCTTAAGTCGCGAGTGGAAGGTAGCTTGCTCCCTTTTTACAAAAAAAATGCTAGTCTTTAACATTTGGTCCGAATTATCAGCTACGGATCATTGAAACAATTCCCGAGTGATGCGTAACAAGAAACAAGGGCCCGCGAGGTACCGATGGAACGATGCGGAGAACAGGCGAGAAACCTAGCTAGATGACCGAATGTAGACAACGGAGCAACCCAATGGCAATGGCAGGTCGGGGACAAGGCAGGCAGCAGGTGCGCTCATTCTTGTATGTGGACAATAGTTTAGGAGAATCAAGATTTAGAAAAGGGATGGTGGGAAAAGGAGGTGTATCGTAATTCATGTTTTCCAACATCATTTAATAAGAATTCAGCTTGATCTACAAATATCATAACTATCGGTTGTATTTTTTTTTTTTTAGATGTTTAGTACAGGAGGTAGATATTAGGTGCTTCGGGCCAGGTAATCCAACTAGAAATCCGCACTTGAGCTGAATCTTACATGTCATTATTTTCTAAAATTGGAGGTTGATTTATCATGGCAGAATGGTGGGAGTTCGGTTGGTAGACGAAATACCTAAAATACAGAATCCAAAGTCCAAAATACAAAATTCAAAATTTGTCAACATGCTGGTGACTTTTACCTCTCCCCCACGTGGAGAATAAATTAATAATAAAGGAGTCATTTAAGAATAGAATACCCCAAACGGTCAGAACTGTGAGAGACAAAAGTCTAGAGAAGGTCTTCATGTATGAACCTTGCGGAAGCATACGGGACAGACGGAAGAAATAAGAAATTAAAAAAAGAAAAGATCTGGTTGGCGTACCCCTCTTCAGCCTAACCTAGAACTCTGCCTCCTCAAGAGCACAAGATCACACAAATATATGGATACTTAGACAGACATGCATAACTTGGGTTAGAACGATGTATCGACCCAAGGTATCTCGGCAACGTATTGAATAAATAGAGATAAGGTATACCAATTTCGCTCATATGAAAAAGGGTCGTCCCAAGAAGACGGAGGATACGTAGAAAGGATCGGTAAGCAAACAGGTGCAATGAATCTCGCTGTGGTCTACGTTCTTGGAAGTACTATTTTGATTAAGTGCGACTGTACAACGGTTGAGCATAACACATCAAGTTACGTAGACCTGTCACATAGGAGATGACAAGCTATCGACTTCCCAAATATAACAGTTTAATGGGGCGAAAACCTTGGAAAGCAAAGCGCCTCCTCAGATATAACCTTGAAGGAATCTAAATTCGCACGGCAACTTGCTTTAGGTAGATATGTACTTGGTAGTTTCCAGTACACCGGTCAAAACTCTACCTACCTTCCATCTGTAAAGTACCCTGAGATATGGATACAGATTCATCAAAACCTAGCTGCCTAGTAGGTACCTACCCATACAGAATCTACATATTAGTACTATTCTAATCATTACACGGTACGACGCAACACGGCACAAGACAGCACATCTGTGTTCCCTTGGTCCTAATACCCTCGAAGCTATGTACAGTTCTTCTATTTTCGCAAATGTATTGTGTTATATTGTATCGTATTATATCGTATCGTATCGACTCGATTGTAGGTAGGTAAGTTACGTACTTACCTACCTAGGTACCTATTAGATATGTAACGTGGGATACCTCTTGGTGCATGTCCACATAGTAAGTATGTACTCATTACATCGTTGAGTAACCCCTCTATTCTACCTATTGCATACCTAGGTAAGTTCAAATGCCCATTCCAAGTTCCTCCGCAGGTAGATATGTAGGGCTACATGCAGGAATCAACAATCGATATGTGGTGATAGGCTAGAGACCAAAGCCGAGCAACAGCCGTAGAGGATGCTCTAATGGATATTGAAGGTTCCGCCTGCCGAAAAAAAACTAACTTAGATAGGTACTTACCTAGGTAAAGTATCTAAGTACTGCCCAGGCGCGTGAATATCCTACATCCTACATCAAGTCGTAGGGAAACTACCTACCAACCTGGTACCTACATACATCTCCATCCTACCTACCCAAACTATAAGTAGGTAGCACTAAGTTTATTATAGAAGAAGGCGAAGAATAATAGTAATGCTAAAAAGATGTTAAAAAAATACATTGCTTTAATTCTATCTCCTTCAAAATTCTAATGATTTAATAGGTGCGCCATTCTTCATTTGTACATTGGGTAGTGCCGTTCATATACCTCGTGTGCGAATGTGGAAAGCTTATAAGTGGAGGTTTCTAAGCAACTAAAGCAAGCACGATCCGTACCTACGCAGGTTGTAATATGTATTGCACCAAGAGCAGCAAGAGTGGTAGGCACCTGCAGTTTCTAGCCGCGGCGTACCTTTTTGTATGGAACAAATGGAAATCAAACCATACAACCGGCTACCCGACCTAAGCTAGAATTTTTAGGTCCTTTTAGCAAGGGACCAGGAAGGAGGAGGAGAGTAAAAAAATTAATTTTTTTAATGCACACAAAAAAATCCATTTACTAAATACACACATAAACGTACTTCTCTTACAACATTTAACATTTGCAAACAAACTTCCTCCTATATTTCCTTGCAAATCGTTAAACCCTACTTCTCACATTCTCGTGTACTCTTATTATTAGGAGGAGACGAGAGAAGAAGAAGAAGACGAGACATATCTAAGACGCCACAGGCGCATAGGTTATTTTTTTTCGTCCCCCCCCCGCGAACCGGTGCAGGGTGCTCTTTTTGTCTTTCTCATATCAATCATTTCCCCTCTAACACTCAAACCCCCTCCATTCCCCTCCATCACCAAGACGAACTGAGTACGGCTACCACCACCAGAATCGCGACCACTATTCTACATCTAGTACAGTACAGCACGGTTACAAGTCTATTTTTTCGCGCTTACCTAGGTACTCAACTAGGTACCTTCTACATTTACATACACAAACTGCGGGCAACCTTTGCGGTCCGGACCGCTCACCACCACCAACTTCAGCCAGGTTAGAATCCAGTCATTGATGCGGGCTAGGGACGAACTTCTACAATTTTACGGAATTCTAACTTTCTAACTTTACAGGTTGAATTTGGTCAGGCCACATCGGGTTCGGTTCCCAAACTAAAATCCGGTGCAGCCCCAAACGAAAGCACAGTCATCTTTCGGAGATCGCTGTCACGTTTTTTTCTCCCTCAATAAATTTTTCCCCCTCTCCAATCTTCTTAAACCTAAACGACTACCTACCGTCGCCTCGGTCACCTATTTTGCCAGCCAACGATTATTTTCCAGTAGCTGCAATTTTCCCTCTTCCACAACACGGACTTACGTCGACGATCCCCTCCACCTTTACCAGTTCTTTTTAGTCAAGCTACAGTCGATAGAGGTTTATTGATCGCACCCCGCATCTACTTTTCGAGAATTTGATAAAATCGCTTGCGATTGGGTCATCTTTTACTAAAAAGAAAAAAAAAGTTATTCCTTGCCGGTCATCCATTTTGTGTTTTTGACACCTCTCAATCACGACTACTCCCTGCTTACTCGACAACGCGAAATTTTATTATTGACCTAATATTTTTTCTCATATTGCCGACGCAACCATCTAGGTACCGCACCAGATCGTTCACTCGAATTTCGACTCGAGTTCCGTTTACACCTGGAAGCTCGACCGAGTTGTTTTTATACTTGCGGAGGGCCGCTTTTGGCTGGTGAGGTGCTCGCAGGGCTGGTTGACCACCTGGCGTGTCGGTGGACGTGGGAAAAGCATCCCATCGTCCATTAGTGGTACGCAACAGATTGCCTATTTTGGCTGCTCTGTTGCCTACACCAGATCAACTGCACAACTCACTTACCAACGTCGCAAAGTCGCGCTTGATCGCCATGTCGACGTTTTCATATGCTCAGGCCGCTAAAGGCCACTCTACGACTCAATCCATCGGTTCCCAACCAAACTCGGCACCTAGCCAAGCGCCGTCGACGACCAGCACTCAAAGCCGCGATGTTGCTGCTACGCCTAGCACGCGAGCTCCATCCGTCGCGATTTCAACCACGTCAAACGATGGCTCGCAAAACACAAGCAGCTCGTCCATCAAGCCGGAATCATATAGCTTGAATAGCAATGATTCAGACTGTGTTTCCACCAGCGACAAGGCGGCCGAACCGTCTAGTCTATCGAGCGAGATTACTGAGAAGGTACTTGGTGAGGTCGTCCCTCAAAGCACCGAGAGACGGGGACGTGGTCAAACCCTAAATTCTCAACCCGCAGACGCTAGTGACGGCAAGAAGCCTAGAAAAGGGAAGAAGAGTAAGACGGCTGAGAAGGAGTCCGAACAGGACCAGGACAAGAAAGAGAACGTGCCACTAAAAGTGGAATTAGCCGAAGCACCAATGCCATCAGTCAATATATGGACTCAAAGACAGGAAGAGAGGGCCGCGAAGTACCAGGCGGCTCCTCCGGCGATTGTACAATCGCATGGCTCGAATACTGCAGCTAGTGGTTCAACGAATGGAACGCTCAACCAAGCTTCTCAAGACCAAAAACCAAAAACTCCTCATAGCGACGGGGCCGACGCAACTTCAGTACAGAGCAGGCCATTATCAGGGGGTAGCAGACCTTCGAAGAAGGATTTCGAACAGTCGCGTAGCAACAGTAATCAAGGCTCTCGCAGAGCAGCCCCGAGAGGTGCTAGGGCAAACAACGGTGAAGACAGGTCATCGTCTGAGGCGCTAGCGCCAATTGCAAGTAACACCTCGTCGTGGCCGACGCCTGAAACAGCGGCAACTGGTCTGAAGACTCAGACTACTAGTACCGGAAAGCCTGAGAAGGAACAGAAAGATGAATCTGGTCCGAGCAAGCCTCGGCAGAAAAAGGAGTGGACTCCTATGGATTTTGTGCCAACTGTGAACTTCGAGACACCTATGCCGACGAGGGGCCCCCGGGGTGGTCGTACTGGTGGTTCCAGAGGCGGACGAGATGCTTCGGTAAGAGGTAGCCATAGCAGCAACGCCTCAAGCGGTAATTTATCCCACTTCTTAACAGCTGTAAAATTTACTAACCCCTATGAAGATCGCGCACAAGAGAATGGCGCCACTCCCGGAGCCGCCTCCGTTGCAATGCCGGCTTCTAAGCGCGGATCTGTTGATGTATCCGCATCGCGGAAATCACAGTCCCAAGGAGCTGGGAAACTAGGAGAGATACCCTCGGTAAGCTCAACTATTCAAAACTCATCTACTTATATGGATATTAATTATTGGTTTAGGGAAGCTCTAAGGCAGATGTGTCAAAACAAAGTCTGGCAGATTCCGCAAATGGAATATTGACCCAGCACGCCGCTACTCGAACCACAGGCTTAAACCAGCGAGTGGATGAGACCAAATCATCGCAGCCAACGAGAGACAACGGTTTCCATAGTACCAAAGACTCTAGCTTTCAGGGACAGGGTAACGTAAATCGCAATGAGCGCCCTAGAGGAGGTGCACGAGGTCGTGGAGGCCACTCAGTTGTGAACGGCGTCGGCCATTCATCTCAGTTCAACCAAGGAAACCCTGCGTACAACTACCAGGCAAATGCCAGTGCAAATCCTAGACAAGCCGCCCACCATGCTTTCACCCCTGGCTATCCGCCAATGCCATATGGCAATTCGTTTCCAGCCCAGTCGACAGGAAACCAGCACCGCAGCCGACCGAGCTCGGGAAACAATCGCTCACAGGGCAGTGCAAGACACCAATCAAGAGCAGCATATCCATTAACTAACATGCCGTACGACCCTACCGTGTATTCACACAGTAATGGCCAATTCAACCCGTATGTTGACCCCAATCACTTATTGAGCGGGGTATTGTCACAAGTGGAATATTATTTCTCCATCGATAATCTTTGCAAAGATTGGTATCTTCGAAAGTTTATGGATTCACAGGGCTTTGTCCCTCTAAATGTCATCGCCGGATTCAAGCGAATGCAAGAAATTGCAGCGGATTGGCAGCTAATCCGCATAGCTTGCGACAGTTCCCCTCATATCGAATACATCATCACAGATGAGGGTCAAGACAAGGTGCGACGTCGAGAGCAGTGGGAACCTTGGGTACTTGCGATGCATGTGAGACATCCAACTGCACAGCATGATGGCCCCATGAGCTATCGTCCATTCGAATCCCACATGGCATTCTGGCCTCAGATGTTCTCATACGGAGTGGCTCCCATGTTTTCACCAACAGGTACAGAAACCCATTTCCCACATTACGTCAATGGGAACGGCGCGACTTCTCCAACGAACAATGGAGCTAATGGCCATTTCCGTCCTGCTGATTCTCAACTGTCGGCGACAGTTCCGGAGTTTTCCCCCATCGCCAATCCTGGAATGGATATTGCAAGTCAAGGCGCCGTAGGCACATCAGATGCCCAAGCCAATGGCCTCAAGGCAGATAATGTTGATAAGGGCTCTCTCCCAACCGGTTCCCACACTCTCAATGATGTAGAGCAGATAGCCATTGGTGACAAATCATCTACGAATGGAGTCCATGGTGGCCACGAAGCCGAGGTATACTAATACCATTCTTGTAGTTACATGAATGGCTCATCAAATTCAAAGAGCCATTTCATATCCACGGGCAGGTTCTGGCCCATTGTACTGAATTGGAGAATCACACAACAGAAACCACCTACTACTCGATACGGATATCGTCGCAGGTCTCGTACAACGCGATGAATAGAAAAACCATGGAATGAATCATTGTCCTGGTCTACTTAACTTTTATTTCGCCTTTCAACTCCAACGTCGATTCCAAAACTCAAGGTGGCGATATTCTACAGTCTATGGTTTTAAGAAAATTTTGGTTCGGTCACTGGACAAATACCCATTCGCCCTTCGGGGCTACCCATTTCCACTGCGAATCTCCTGGATACGACAGAATAATACGTTGTAGGTCCTACCGAATCGTGGGCTTGTGACCAATGGACTTACCATGTTGGAAATCACGAAGAACCCAGACATGGAACAAAGCAGTGAAAGCGCAAATACACAACACTTTTCAATCTGAAAGGGCAGTAAAGCTGCAGCATCGTGACCTATCAGTAGGTCATCTTGCACTTGTGGAGGAACATATTGATGTTTTCTCGTTGATACTTTTCGAACTCATTGGCCTAGTCGCCATACATTCATCACTCATGACTTTCTTTCATGCGTTTGTTCATTAGGACATCGCCTACCATACGTAATGGTGGTTTTCACGACAGAATGAGATAACGGTCACAACCCTTTTCTCGTGATCGCCAAGAGCAGATTCTACTCAACACCAAATCTGTTCGGTAGCTTGCGCTTAATTCAGTCCCCTTTCCAGTCAACTTCGCATAGGTTTTCCGCCTAGTTATTCGTTCATGAATTCATCAGGATTCAAACCCTGTGAACTCATGGAAGTTGGTTTGTCATTGCTAGACAAAAGTATTGGGCATTGGATTTCTTTCCTTCTCACTTGCATTCACGGCGTGGATTATTCGCATAGGGGGAGGCCTCACGGAAAGGGAATGCTTTCAGATAGACATTGATGTCATAAAAGGAGAAACGAGGCAAAAAACCTCTTGTCGCGGGAGTTATATTGTGTATGAGTAGGACATGCAAAAGAAAAAAAAAGAGAAAAAAAAACAACTGAATGCGAACAAACCTTGATTTGGATCCCAGTGGTACACCATGGCATTTTCTGCCAGTTCTACTACAGAGAGTCAGTTCACTCTGAGTTCACCTCATCTCTACTCTACTCTATTAGGTACTTTAAGATAGAGCCATTGGGCAGGCAAATATATGAGGTTCGGATGGATGCTACGTTGGCAAGTAGATGGGGCGTTTATTAGGTTCTCTCAGTACGAGGCTGCGATAGGGTGGGTATCCATTTGGTTGGCAGTCTCAGTGTGTTAAGGGAGATGAATGGGGTGAGGCTGAGCTAGCTGGTCAACTTCTAGCTCACACGCGGTTAAAGCGTGATATATTGTGCATGTGGAAAAAGGATCAATAAGTCATATCCATACCTAGCGGCTATCGATATACAAAATTAGATGACGTGCCGTCCATTTTTATTATTATTTATGAATAGCTCTGGACCTTAGGCATCCTCCTCGACTTTTTCAATAGGTATGCCTCGTAGGCTCTAGATGGTATAAATATAAGCCTTCTAACATAACACTACCTAGCCAGAAAAACAAGAGGAAGACATATTCATTGACATATATATCGACATCCTCATAGCGAGCAATCTAGGTGTAAGCTACTTAGGTAGATAGGCTTCCGAAAGGAATGCCAAATATTTGTTCTTCTAAACAAGACATCCTCACCACAGAGACCTTAAGTACTTAGTCTACCCTCGGAATACACAAGAAGCCATCACGATATCCTGTAATTTTCTTCATGGAACTTCGGCTAAGCGTAAGTACTGTTATAGCCCCTTTCCACCTCTAATAGCAATACTTGAACGAGCCAGAGCAGGAGAATTGCCCCTGTATCGGCAACAAAGCAGCCGGTCCATTGATGTTATTAATGATTACTTGGTTGAACAAGTCTACACCGTTATTGAGTGCGCTGACAATGTCGTTCCTGCTGATAATTAGCTATCTTGACATATACATTCGTCCAAACTCATATGCCCGGATTCCGTGGAAAGATTATCTAGGTGTTAAGGGAAGACGTGTATGCTCTACATACCTCTGGCAAGCAATCGCCACGCCGCAATCCCTTGCGACATCCACCGACGGGGTGGAGTTGACGGTCTGGAAGAATTGCGCTATCTTCTTATCAGCGCTGAGAGAAGCATCGATGTCCTTGTCCCCCAGCGGCTGCGTGACCGCGAGAGCATCGTCTATCTCTGACAGGGCTGCTAGTTCCAACTGCGTGTTGTCAAGCCCGACAAGTGCATTGCTCGAGCGAAAGAAGTCATCCTGGTCATCGGTCGAGCTCATGAGTCTCGTGGTTATGAGGTCAATGGCCCCGTGCGATGCTAAGATGTTGTTAAACACGACGTTCGGGTCCGTCGCAAGGGAATTCCTGGTGGCGATGAGGCCTCGGGTAGGGGTAGCGGATATGGAGGTGATTGTCGCGGCTGTAGTGGCGAGGATTAAGGGGTGGGTGAATCGGACCATTGTGTTCTCTTTAAGTTTACGGAAAAGGAGGGATAGTGTTGAAGCGTGAAGATCTCAAGTAAGACTTTGTCGTGGTATTGAAATGGTGAGTGAGAATGGCCCCGAAATTCAAGTTTCCATTTATGAGGGCTTTGAATTGATATATACTTAGTTTTACTCACGCTTAGTATTGACTAGGAAAGGGGCTATTTTGTTATGCTTGTTGACTCTTGATAGATAGACCAACAACAACTTCTATTTTCAGGTTTCAATAATATATTTCAAACTGCCTTTCAGGATATGATTCTAATACGGATTACAAGACTCGAGGCTGGGCACTGTTGGTTGAATGGGAGAGTTGGCTCCAAGCCTCCCTGACCTCCCTGACCTCCCTGACATAGAGCTTGAAGTAGAAAGCCAAACCGGGAACATTCCTTTATCTATGGTTGGATAATTCATGCCTCCCAAGAATGTTGGATATCTCAACTAGAAGAGTAATATGAAAATGCGCTTCTACCCATCCTTACATTACTGTGGTAATAGGTTCGGGAGGCTGATGCCAATGCCGAGATAATTATGTCGAAGTCTTGTATTCTTCTATCCCTTACTCGTTTGGCAGGTCTCGAGCCAGTCATATAAACAGCCAAGCCGTGCGCCGAGAGTTGGCAAGATATTTGTCTGTGATAAACCGACGATATATGTAGATTATTGTTAGCTTGACGTTTTATTTTGATCTTTCAGTGTGATGATGTTATTATCACCGCCACATTCGCCGGGCTTCTTTCATCCTCCTTGCTTTGGTCCTACACTTCTTACGTCCATTTAAACTTAGAAAATGGCCATCATATGATGCGTTGCCGGTATTCTCGTCTCGGAAGCGACTTCGTTGTCCGAGCGGGCTATGATGCCCTTCCGGTATCTTGGATCTTGCCAAGTATCAAATCCGATGACGATCGCCTACCTACAAGGAAGCCGGTGAGGACACGACATTTCGGTATCCAACCTGGCAAAGAGTGGTAGTGGCTTTGAGCATGTGCATAGAGACTCGTCATATCCGAGTTCCCTCAACAAACTCTTAAGTGATCCGGACGACTGACTGCCACCTCAACAATTCGATCTAGAACGTAAGACGCTGATCATTTTGCTTCAATTACGACTCCTCGATGAATTAGGTATACATCTGCCAAGGGCGGCTTGTGGCTCTTGGACTGCACCTAGAGTATGCGATCATAGAGACCTCGGACTATCATTTTCAGAGACTGACGCGTTGCGCTTCAATATTGAGCCTTGCGGTCAGCAAGGTTGTGGATTGTGAATCATCGATACTTGATCCTGTGTAAATCGAGTGTATTTACCATCGTTCACCACGTGGGTCGATCAATTCGAAAGACTCATCGACAACATCAATACTTGCGTGTTCTTACGGCCGCAAGGCGTTTGAGAAGAGGCCACATCTCATCGATTGATCGAAAGTTGCTTACTTTTCGTACGTGTTAGAGAACAGATAAGATGTTGTGGAAATTACCTAGGCCCTATTTCCATCCTGATTGAGCGGTTGTGGAAGATATCTATCAGATTGTTTAGCGAGTGCGAGTCCGAAAATGAAAAGTTGCCAATCCGTTGAAATATCTTTCGTTGTTTTTGTCCCTTGAATGAAAAGTCCAGAAGCCACGCTGTTCAATTAACCAATGAATGATACGATCTATGAATCCTACAATGGATCAATATGGTATCGGTAGCTCCCAGGCCTCGGTCCGAGGATTGCGAGATGCATATTTGGCGTCTTACTTTTCCAAGAGAAGAAAAAGAGCAATCAATTCGTGAGTCACATTATGGATTAAGAATACGTACCTAAGGTACCTTTCGGATTGCGGCGCTGTGTATGGTCGTCCGAGCTGAGGCTGGTACGTGGCTAGAGGCCTGCGCCGGGTCAGGCCACAATCTAGACGTCATGGGTCGATCATGCCATGCAGGAAGCGTGCGTATACCATGATCTGGCTGATCTAGTCGTGCAGTAGGAGGGCAGGAGCTGGGCACATTAGTTAGACACAGATTGGGGAATTGGGCAGGGGCGGGGCAAACCGACCAAGTATCGACTTCACTAAAAAGACCTCAAAGAGGAGGGGATGAGAGGCACTTTCCCAAACCCTATAAACAGCCGGAAGCGCAACCATGAGATCGGAAGAAAGGATACTCGGCATCAAGCAATTGCATCCAGATAACAACACAACATCGCATCTGTCACAATTAAGGTTACAATCGTAACAATCACTTACATCGTACCTGACTTTTACTCACCCACAGTTACACTCAATTACACCCACCTAGGTACTCGGTAGTTTTTAAACATCGCCGACCAATTAGAGTCTTACTAAGGTAGTCTTGTAATATCATTCGCTACCGAATCCGGCAACGCACCACTACACCGCATATAGCAAGAACCACACACCAAACCATGACCAAGATCATCCTTTCCATCAACGCGGGGTCCAGCTCCGTCAAGATCTCAGCCTACGCCGCACGGTTCCACGAGTCGCCGAAGCAGCTCGCCGAGGCCGAGATAAGTGGACTCACTGCCCCTCCCGCTCAACTCACCTATATCCGCGGCGATGTCCAGGTCAAGAGCCACGAGGAATTAGAGACCGGCATCGCCGATCAGGATGAAGCTTTCAGGATGCTCCTCAACACCTTAACTGGCGACCCGGAACTCCCCGAGATCTCCGCCAAGAGCGACATCTCCGTGGCCTGTCATCGGGTGGTCCACGGCGGCGACTACAAGACCGCCAAGCTGATCACCCCGGACACGTACCACCACCTAGAGCGGCTAACAGACCTGGCGCCGCTACACAACGCCAACGCGCTGCACATCATCAAGTCGTGCATGGACGAGCTGCCGAGCGCGCTCAACGTCGCCTACTTCGACTCGCAGTTCCACGCGACCATCCCCCCGCACATCAGCACGTACCCGATCGACCCGGAGATCGCCAAGAACAACCAGCTGCGCAAGTACGGCTTCCACGGCATCTCCTACTCCTTCATCACCCGCTCCGTCGCCGACTACCTCAGCCGCGACCCGAGCGAGCTCAGCATCATCGCCCTGCACTTGGGCTCGGGAGCCTCCGTCTGCGCCATCAAGGACGGGTGTTCGTGGGACACCAGTATGGGGCTAACCCCGCTCGCCGGTCTCCCAGGCGCCACACGCAGCGGCAGCGTCGACCCCTCGCTGGTCTTCCACTACGCCAGCGACGTGGGCAAGCTATCACCCTCGTCGACGAAAGAACTGCACATCTCGGTAGCCGAGGAGATCCTCAACAAGCAAAGCGGGTGGAAAGCGCTCACCGGCACGACGAACTTCGGGGTCATCGCGAACAGCGACGACCCGAAGTGCAAGCTAGCCTTCGACCTTCTCGTCGACCGCATCTGCGCCTTCGTAGGCTCGTACTATGTCTCCCTCGGCGGCCGCGTCGACGCGCTGGTGTTCGCAGGCGGTATCGGCGAGAAGAGCGAGAAGCTGAGGGCTGCTGTTGTCGCGCAGACAGAGTGTCTCGGCTTCCGCATCGATCCTAAGCTCAACGCTGCTAAGATCGCGAATGTCGTCCAGGACGTCGGCAAGCAGTACGCCAGACACCGGACCCTGGTCTGCCGCACGGACGAGCAGTTCGAGATGGCGCGGGGCTGCGCCGAGAACGAGGAGTTGTGGTAGGAGGGCGGCGCGTACTTAGATATCTGGGTAGTAAGTTAATGGTTAGGAAATGGGCATTATGGCGGGGCGTTAGGAATTTGGGAATTACATATAATATCACCCTGGTTTAGGGGTTTGGATCTGGGTATTTGGGCTATATCCAGCTGCATTTTAGAAGTTATCGAATAAACAATCACCAATGTTCAAGTCGTATATGTCTTACTCCTCTTGAGGCTTGCGTGAAGATGAAATCATGGAAGCCGAATAAAATACTCGTCGCACTATAAGGATGCATACTAAATTTCCTGTCTGAATGGGACTGTAGATGATCGACAGGCACGAGGGCAGATCCGCCGTCCAGCATTGTTACATACATACATGATACATGTCAACTTCCTAGCATATGTATATGACCTGTAACAATAAAGACAGTGGAGATTTCTTCAATTGAAGTTATCCTGTTGGTTCGCGGAGGATTTGGACCGGATGGAGGCGTGTGTGAGGCAAGGACCGAGCCAGGGCCAGGGGGGAACGGGTCACGATCGCGATGATGCACCGATGCAAGATGACATCACGAGCTCAAATACGTGATTGTAGGTGTAATAGTCGCCGGTCGGTACTTTCGATCCCACGATGGAATCATTTTAGCACCAAAATCCGCCCGCGCGGTCCTCCGGCCCCTTTTCCTAAACAGGATTACTCCGTACTTAGAAAGATATGTATGTTTGTTCGTTAGTTAAGGCATCGTATTACAAGAGGGCACCCCCCCGAGGCACCATAATAACCCGACTTTAAGAATTTGTCGGAACTAGGTTTTTCCGGATCTTTAAAACGTTAATTTTTCGTAAAACGAATTTTATTAATTTTATTTTTTTTTTATTTTTTTATTTATTTATTTTATTATTATTATAATTTATTTTAATATTATTGGTTAATAATATTAATTAAATTATTTTATTTATTAATTTATTTAATAAACGTAAATTTATTTAATAGTTTTTATTTATAAAAAATAATAAATTTAATTCGTTTAAATTTATAATTTATAATAATTAAATATATATTATAATAAAATCGAAATTTAATTAATAAAATCGTTTATTTATTAAATTTAAATAATTTTATAATAATATTATTTTTTATATTTTATAATTAATTATAATAAACGTAAAAGTAAAATTAAACTTATAACGGTTAAAAAAACGTATAAATTTTATTTCGATAATTTTTATTAAAAATATTAATAATAAATTAACATTTAAATTTATTAAATTAAAGTTTTAAATAATTAATAAAAAAAATAAAATAATTTTAAAAAATTTAAATATAATGAAAATATTCGGGTTAAATTAAAAAATAAAATACTTCGAATTTAAAATAAATTTTTTCGTTATATATTAAACGTTATTAATTATTTTTAACTTTTAATAAATATTTTTAATAATATTTACGAATATATTTTTTATAAACGTAAAATATGTTAAAATTTTTAAATTAAAATCGTTTATTATAAAATATATTTTTTTTAATATTATTATTTTATTTTATTTTTTAAACGTATATTTAAATAAAAAAATTTATATTTTTTATTTTTTTTATTTTATATACGATAAAATAATTTATAAGTTTATAACGTATTTTATTTAATTAAACGAATATATTATTTTTATTTTATAATTTAATTAAATATTTTAAAATTTTATTAAATATAAATTTAAATAATTAACGTTATTTAATATTTATTTTCCGTTATAAAATTATCGTAATAATATTACGTATATTAAATTAAACGTTTATATTTATTAATCGAATAAAATTATAAATTAAAACTTTAATTATAATTTATAATTAAATAAATATTTATTATTTTTTTTTACGAATTTATTAATAATTTTATTTTAGTTTTTTTATTTTATAAATTTATTAAAATAAAATAATAAATTTTTAATAATTAACGGAAATTAATAAAAATTACCGTATAAAATAATTATAAATATATTTTTAAAATTAATTTTTAATCGTTTTTTTATATTTTATAATTATTAATTAATTTTATATAATATTATTTTAAATATTATATTATATTCGTTTATAATAAAAATATTTATATTTTTTTATACGCGTATTTTTTTCGGAAATATTTTTTTTTTATTATTTTTAAAAAAATTAATTACGAAATAAATCGTAATATTATTAATATAAACTTCGACCGAACCGAACGTTATTATTATTTTAATTTAATAACGGTTATTTTTCGCTTTTAACGTTTTTATTAAATTTTATATAACGATATTTTTATTTATTTTTTCTTTATCGTTTAAATAATAAAAAAATTATAAAAATTCGTTAAATTTTTTATCGTTATTTTCTTATTTTTATAAACCATTTATTAAATTAAAATGTCGAAATATAATATTTAAAAATATAATTTATTTTAAATTAAAGTTTTTTTTTTCGGTAATAATAATATTTATATTTATTTACGTTTTTTTAATATTATATTTAATTATAATATAAATTAACCGTATATTAACTTTTTTTAATACGTCGTTATAAATAATATTATTATTTATTTTTATAAATTTATAATTTAAACGTCGTTTATTTTTATTTTTAAAAATAAAAAAACTTAAAATATCGAAATTATTTATTTAATTAACCACGTATTATAATTTAATCGTATTAATAATATCGAATTAATTTTTTCATTTTTTTACGTTAATTATAATCGTTTTAATAATTACGTTATTTTTTATAATTACATTTAATATAATTTTATAATTATTATAAAATATTTTTTTATATTAATTTAATTCGAAATTAATTAATAATACGTTTATTTTTATAACGTTATTTAATTAAACGTTATACGTTAAATTTTTTACGTTAATTTTAAATAATAAAATATTTATTTTTAAAAAATTTTCTAAATATAATTTAACGTTTTTTATAAATATGTTAAATTTTTTTACTTTTTTTTAATTTTTAATTTTTTCGTTTTTTTTTTTTTCGTATTATTTTAATTATTATTATTATAATTAAAATTATTTTTTAAATATTTTTTTTTAAAATTTATTTTATTCGTTTAAAACTTTTTATCGCGTTTAACGTTTTTACGGTTTTTTCGAAATAATATAAAATTATCGTTATAAAATTAAAATTTTTTCGATATATTTTATAATAATTTATTTTATATATTTATAATAAAATTTATATTTTTAAATAAAAATTATTTTTAAAATATAAATAAAATTAATTAAATTATAACGAATCGGTTATAATACGACTTTTCGTTAAATTTTAATAAATATAAACCGATTAATAAAAAAATGTATATTTTTTATTATTTAATTAAATATTAATAAAATTAATTTTCGTTTAATAATTCGTCGAATTTTACGTAACGGTTTATTTAACGCGTTAATTTAAATATAATATTAATTAAAAACGCGTAATTATATAAAAATATTTTTTTTAAAATAAATTTATAATTTATATAAATTTAATAAATATTTAATTTAATTTTCGTTATTAAATAAAACATGGTTTTTTTAATTATAAAATTTTTATTACCGTTTAATATTTTAATTATTAAATTTCGTAAATATTTTTATTATTTTCGAATAATAAAATATATAATATTATAATAAAATTAACGTTAATTTTTTTTTAAATTATAAAATATATTATATTTTAATAAATAATTATATATTTTAAAAGCCGATAATTTTTATTTATTAAAAATTTTATTTAAAATTTAAATTATAAAATTACGCGTTTTTTCGATTAAATTATTTTAATTTATATATTTTAAGTATTTAAATAATACGTTTAATTTCGTTATAAATAAAATATATTTTTAATTTATTAATAATTTATTTTTCGTAATATAATCGATTATATATTATAATAATATTAAAATTTTTATAATAATAAAAATAAAAATTATATTATAATTATATTATAACGTAATTATTATTATTATATTTTATTTAATATAATTATACACGTATTAAATAATTTATAAAACGTTATTATTATTTATATAAATTTTATTAATAAAATTTTATAATTATTTAAAACGATATAATTAATTATTTTTTTTTATTAATTTTTTCGTTATATTTTTATTATATTTAAAACATATAAAAATACATTTATAAAATTAAAAAATAATAACGATAAAATAAGTTTTTTTTTTTTTATTTTCGTTTTAATTCGTTTAAATTTTATATAAACTTTTTTATTAATTATAACCGATTTTTTATTAAATATTTATAATTTAACATTTTTATATTAAAAATTTCTTTAAAATATTTATTTACGTATTAAAAAAACTCGTTTATTTTTTTTAAGTTTTTTTTTTTTATAATATTAAAAAAATATTTTACGAAATTAATATTATTATAATATTATAATAACTCGTAAAAATAAAAAGCTTATTTATTATTAATTTCGATTAAATTAAAATATTAATTTATAAATTCGAAAATATTATTTTTCGTTAAAATTTATATTAATTTTTCGAAAAAAATTTTTAAATATAAATAAAATTATTTTATAAACGTAACCGGGTTTTAATTTATTTTTTTATATTATATTTTATAACTTTTTAAAATATATTTATTTAATATATATTAAATTTTTTTTATATATTATTTATTTCGAAACTTTTTTTTTATTTATATATAAATCGAAAAAAATATATTATTAAAGTTAATTATAAATTAAATAACGAACGGGTTATATTTTATTATTATATTTTTAATTTTATTATAAGTTTATATTTTTTCTTCGTTTATAAATAATTATTATTTTTCGAATATAATAATTTAATTTAAAAACGATTTTATATTAAAATTAAAAATTTTATACGTTTTACGTAATTCGTAATTAATTTATATTAATTTTTTCGTAATAATATTTTCGTAAATTTTTTAAATTATATTAAAAAAAAATTTTTTTATTTAAACGTAATTAATTTAATTATTATTATTTTTTAATATTTTATTAAATATTAAAAATAAAAAAACGAGGTAAATTATAACGGTAATTTCGTATTATTATAATTTTATAAAAACTTAATTATAATATATTTATTAATTAAACGATTAAATTAATAAAAAAAAAAATAAATCGTATAATTATTATAAAAAGTTTTTATTTTTTTTTTTTTTTTTCGTAAATTACGATAAAATTATTAAATTTATATAATAATATTATTATAAAAATTAAAATAAAGTAATAAAAATTTTTATATTTTATAATTTAATCGTTTAAAAATATTTATAAATAAAGTTATTTTTCGTGGTTTTTTTCGAAAATTACCTTTTCGGTATTTTTACGTTAATTTTTATTAAATTTCGCGTTAAATAATTATTAAATAAATTAAATTTTATACACGTCGTTCGTTTAATTATTATTATTTATATTAAAAAACCCGAAAAATATCGTTATTATTAAAAAATCGTTATTATTAATTAAATTAAATAAACCGGTAATATTTATCGTTTATATATTTTTATATTTAATTTT